ATGCCTCTTAGCTATTGCTTAAAGATATAAAAATAAATCAGACCCTGAGACTTCTCAGAGGGAACCTGCACATTGCTTGCGAAGGTTCTTTTCTCACTCACCGGCCCGAGACCTCTCCCCTTCCTACCTTGCATCGACTGCAGCTGGTCTGCGCAGTAGTAGAAGCTTAAGAAGGCTCGGAAACATCATCCATGTCCTCATTCTCTAGGAACTTATGGTCCAGAAAAAAGAGCTGATAGTCAACTGACAGATATCTCAGCATCTCCTACATTTCAGACTGTTTTAGATGCTTGGGATACAGCAGGATTCAAGGCAAATTGTTGCCCTGGCAGAATTTACAGACCAGAGCAGTGAAGCAAGTGAAAGATTTCTCCATGGAATGGCACCTGCTTTCACAGTTACCTTCACTCACAAGCAGAGAAATTAGGGCAGGGAGGACAACCATGGGGTGGCCAGTGAGAGTGTTCTGGAGGCAGGAAGGCCTCAAGTGTCTGAAGGCTGTTGAGTCTGCCTGGAGCCCAGATTGGGAGAAGTTAGATCAGTGAGAGATGAAGGCACACCCTCACAGAAATATGATTATATAACAAGTTCCAATGCTGACAAGTGGCAAATCAATGAATAGGCAGAGCAGCAAAGGACCTCACAAGAGGGCGAGATCATGCTGAACTGACCCTACATGGACAAGCAGGACTTGGCCATGCAGAGAGGAATGAAACAAGATAGTCCAAGGCTCCTGGCTCCTGGACCAACATCCTAAAAGGGGCTCTTTGTTTTAGGGTTTTTGTTTTGTTTTGTTTTTTGAGATAGGATCTCACTATGTAGTTCAGGCTGACCTTAACCTCACTATATAGCCCAGGCTGGCCTTAAACTTGCAGCAATCCCCTGCCTCAGCCTCCCAATTGCTGGGATTATAGGTGTGCACCACCATGACTGGGAAAAGGGGCTCTATTTTTCCCTCCTCAGACTCTAGGCCTGCCACAAAGGGCCTGGTACCCCTCCATTCAGTGGCATTAATTCTTTTAGCATACAGTTGCCTCTACTGATGGAGGCTATCTCTTCTGTAGCACAAGAGTCAGAGTTGTAAGCAGACTTTACCTAAAGAGACTAAAAAGTTTAAATTGGTGAAATTATGGGGCAAGATAGATGCTGGGGAGCTGCTCGGATCGTGCTTTTGTGGTCAGAGCAACATTCACTGTCAATACTCATATTCTCCCCACTCAGCACCAAACAGATGCTCAGTAGAATTATGAATGGATGACAGACAAGAAACCCAATTCCACTGTGTGAGGCTGGGCTGGCTCCAAGCTGTGGAGTTTACCAAATCACTACTAGGGACATAGCTCTGCAAGAGGCCCTGTTGTAGACCTGAACTCCTTTCATACTTCCAGTAACCCTGAAAAGTAGGTATTAATTGCCCCATTTGGTGAGTAAGGAATGTGATGCCCAGAGAAGCCTAGTGACACATTTCAAACTCTGTGGCTGGCAAGGGCAGAACTGAAACTTGAACCGACTACCTCCGACTCCTGGCCATATTCTCCCTCTTTTGTTGTTCCATTCCTATTTGGCTTCGCCTTTACTTTTCATTTTCCTTGTTAGTAAGAACCAAGTCCTTTTGAAACAGGATCTTCTCTGTCTTAAAAATGCCTTTTGTGAACTCTGGGAGCTCTTGCTCCTTTCCCGAGAGTGCCTTCCTCTTAATCTCTCAAAGCACCCCACCACCCTTCTTTACATTTAAACCTCACAAGAGCTGTATAGAACTGTTGGGCAAAATTACAGTCTCTATTTTACAGATGAGTAAACACAGGCTCAAAGGAATTTAATGACAACTGAAAGTCATGCAGCCTTACCTTGAGACAAAATAAGAAAGAATGTCTAGACTCCTAGTCTTTCTCCCGGCCTAGAAATGGCAAATCTTTTTGCTGCATTTTTTACTGAGGGCTACATTTTTTACTGAGAGAATTCTGAGGCTAAGTTCGGGCTTGATGCGAAAGATCTGTAATGAGTTAGCAATGCATGGCATGGGCAAAGAAAGAAGTGCATGGGCATGGTATTTGCTATGCCAACTTGCCAGACCTATTTATGTTGTCTCTTATCTTAATGAAGAATTCTGTTAAGTCTTTGATAAGCAAGGCCTGGCACATAGTTGATGCTCAGCACAGACAGAGCAGGCCTATACTTTGTTGAGTCAATACTATTTATCAGGCACTGCATTCAACTACACAGCTGCATTTATAACCATTTGAGTTTATCATAAGTGAACATTCAGAGACACCTAAACTTAAACATGGCCTGAGATATACTTTTGGAAAAACACATCTCTTTTGTACATAGGTCTCAATATTAGAATTTTTTAAATCCTAAAAAGATTCTTTAGATGCCAAATAAGCTCAAATAAGTTTATGAATAAAGCAAACATATATAGGATAAATTGTACTGTCAGTATGTTAGGATGATGTTTATTGCCAGTGGACAGGAGCCCTGTTCCATTCATTGTTGTCTCCAACATCTGGCCAGCTGTGCATTAACATAAAATGAGTCCATCAGTGAGTGAATGAAGTGGAGAGCAATTTGCTGATTATTTAACCAGTGACATACAATATGTCCTCCTCCTAGTGGCCATGAAGGTTGCAAGGACAAGTTTTGCATCACAATTTCTCTTTATAAAGTTCTGAATATAGACACTTGTTGAGTTCTAAGATATCAGTGGCGACTGCTTTCTGTATGTGGGGATATGTAAACACAGTCACAAATACTGAGCAAATAGCCACAAGCAAGGTCAAAAAGTCAAAGGGTTCTTCATGTTCAGACTCCTTGTGGCTCCATGTGGAATACTACCTCTGCCCTAGGAGAGGGAAAGTGTGGAGCCATAAGTCAGGCCACAGATTAGGCAAGGGGAGTCAAGATCCAGCTTGGCTAAGATAGATTCTAAAGTGTGCGTTTTGCTTGACATGAGCAGTCCAAAGGGAATACCTCCAAACTGCTCCAGGCAGGCTGCACAACACTGAATTTGTTCTTCATTTGGCTATCACACATTCTTCAGCTTCCAAGGCTGTCCATGAAAAGAAGAGTGTCAGGCACAGTCTCAAGAAGCTACAAATACCAACTTCCAGCTTCTCCATTCAATTTCTCTTTCAAGTGCCCAGTTCCCATTAATGTCAGGTATCAAACCCAGGGCCTCATGTGTATTAGGCAAGTGCTCTACCACTGAGCTACACCCCAGTCCCTCACATTTTTGATTCTATAAACAACACCGTAGTGGACATCCTTGTCAAATACATCTCTTAAGTCTACATTCATTTTTCAAACAAATTGTTTTGAGAGATATTGTCAAGCTGCACTGAAGAATTATACATTTTCACTTGTAGCAAGTGTTATGCCAATCTGATTATTGGAAATTGGTAACCAATTGTGGTTTTAATTTATATTTCATTAACCAATGAAGTTGGATATTTTCCTCTAGGATTTGTTTCCTGAGGCCACTTTGAAAAGGAAACACCATCCAGGTGAGCATTGCTGTGTTCTTGCAGACTCTGCTAACATTTACTCATTGTCAGGGGATACCACTGTTCACTCAGTACAGGAGATTGGGCCAGCCTGGGGAAACACTGCAGAGGAGACGAAGCTCCTCACTTTGAATGCTGTCTTCCCACCCCGGAGTCTAGTGTCTCCTCACTCACCCACTAGAACTCACCGACAAGAAAGAATTGAAACTCATTCATACTAGGGTACACATGACTGACAGCAGTTTTGCTGAGCAACCCTTGCCAGGGGGTGTCTTTGTCATGTCTAAAAGCCTTGAGGTAAAGAAACAAAGGTGTCAGAATGATAGGCCATCACCAAGGAAAGTTAGAGCTGATTGGGGTGGCCAACCTTTGAGAATTGTATGTATTCTCCTTTCTTGGAGGCCTGTAGAAGGTCATCACTCGGTGGAAGGTTGTGTTTCAGTACTGACCCCTGAACCCTAATCTTTGGTTCAGTTGGAGGTTTCCTGTAGAGTTCCTTGCAACTATTGATACTAATGTGTGTGTGTGTGTGTTATGATTTCAGGCAAATTTACCAAAATGAATAAGCTGGTCCCCTTTCAGCAAGATATCAGGCCAAACTGAATATGAGGTTCTAATCTCTGACCCAATACTATTTTTCCTGAGAGTTGTTTCAAGGAGAAAATTACTATGTGAAAACCCTCCAAATATTTGTGGCAATGCAACTGGGCAACCATTTCGAATGGGATAGTCAATTTTAGTACATTTGCAAGATTAGAAAGTATGCAATCAATAAAAATGATCATTACAGGGGCCGTGGATTTAGCTCAGTGGTTCCACGGCCTGCCTCCCAAGCACAAGGTCCTGATTTGATCCCCGGTACCAAAAAAAAAAAAAAAAAGATCATTACAATGTAGGAAAGTATTTTATATTTTGTTCTGTTTTTCTTTTGAGACAGAGTCTTGCTATGGGCTGAACTCTTGGATACTTGTGCTTCAGCCTCCTGAGTGCTAGAATTACAGATGTGCATCACCACACTTGGCTAGGAACATGTTTTTATATAAAAGTAAGTGAAAATATTATGTATATATGTATATGTAAAATGCTATATGTGTATGTAAAATAGTTTGTATATATGTACATATAAAATGTTATGTAAAATTTACATCTATGGGACTTCAGAAATTCATAGGCTCCATACAATGGCTAGAACAAAAGCTGAAATCAAGGTACAGGATCAACAGTGTTACCTTATCAGAGTTATCTCCCATTTACTTTAAATTATATATGCAAATTATCTTAGAAAGAAATTCAGCAACAGTCAGCAGAAAGATATAATGGAGGTTATCTCTGGGTCCTGATATTAACCATGATTTAAATTTTCTTATTCATTTTTTTTCATTTTCCAAGTTTTTGGTGATATGCATAAATTTTTAAGGATAATTTTTATTCAAACAATTGTAAATGTTTTTAACCATAATGTGATTGTTGTATAGTGAAATATAAAAGAAGAAACTTAGGATTTGAAAATGTAGCCATGCTATTACACGTACACATTTTCATGACATGGAAAAAATGCTGAGGGAGTTCGTGGAAATTAAAGCCCTTCAGTTTTTGGAGATTGATTTTGGGTGAGCCTTTCTTTTTCTTTAACATCAATTGGTATCAGTTTTGGGACTATTTTGCTTGTGTTGTTTGTTAGTATCTTTTAGTTTTGGACTAAGTAGAACATGTTAGGTTTGGATGATATAGTTCTGCCCTAGGATTCCTACACATAGCTAGGAGGCTACACAAGAGCACTGTCAATAGAGGTGACAACAAAATATCAGCCTACAAATCATAGATTACTTGTTGCTTTTAAAATCTTTTATATAAAAATTATTTCACCACTCTTTCTCAACTTGATTTAGGTCAGGGGTGGTGGACTTGAGATTTCACAGGATGGGAGTATGGGAAATAAAGAAAGTGTATAGTCAAATTTGAAAAGAAGGTATTAAAATACAACACTTGATTTGAATGAATGACATTAAAGTTTTTCCCACAAATGTGCCTGGCACTGAAGGGCTCTAGGAATGAGATGCTCGCATGTGAGAAGAAAGAGTGGAGACTGGAGAAGACAAGGTGGGCTTGTTCCTGCCTTGCTTCCTAATTTCTGCTGTGGGTCTCAGGCAAGTTACCATGAGCCCCCAGGCTTCATTGGCCTCATTTGTAAAATGGGGCTGGTAAGAAAAATGAGAGGATGGGTTGTTTGTACATCAAATGAGATGACTTTTATATGTGTATATATGCACAGTGAGTTCTTTAACTGATGGCTGTTATAGTTCTCACATTCTCAAAGTCCACAAAACCTGTTTTGTCACTTGAGAGTATGGAACTGACAGGGTAAGGACCCCACATTCCACACTGACTTATCCCCCAGAGTCTGACTGGCAGAGGGGCCCATGTCTGTCACTCATGTGGGTGGGATGGAAGGAGCGTTACACAGCAGGGGCCCGGAGAAGGACAGGGCATTTTGCCAGTAAGTCACTATGGTCAACTAACCACCTCTGGCTAAGTTTGGGATAAAGACAGAGTAAGTTGAAACCCACCTCACTGAGAAGCAGGGGAGCAGAGTGGTCAGTGCCTTCAATTTGACAGTCACTTCAACTGGGTTTGAATCTCTGTTGCCCTGCATCCCACTGTGTGTACTTGGACATATTAGCCTCCCGCTGCCTCAGTTTCCTCATCTGCCAGAAAGTGATGATGATGGCAATAATAACTACCTCTCAGGGTTGTTCTTAAGGTTAAATGAACTAACATATAGGATGCATTTAGAATTGTTTTGCAAGTGGCAAGAGGTTGCTTTTACTATTAGTTATAATCTATGGAATGAACCAACAGGAAGTTTTGGTCAGAGAAAGTGTCTGGATTGCACATTTCTCACAGCACAGTTTAAACTGCACAGGTGGCAGAGAGCAGGTGGAAGAGAGGCTTGTCAGGCTCAGCAGGGAGCCGAGAACCTGGCTGCTCCACCCTGGGTACTTTGTGCTCCTTCGGTGGCTACACTTGTGAATTCAGGGAAAGGTCCTAGATCTCAGCCATCAGCTCCCTAATCACTGCATTACGTCTGTGGGACTCCATGAATTCATAGGCTTCCAGGATGGCTAGAACAGAAGCTGAAATCAAGTTACAGGATTAGCAGAGTTATCTCAAGTAGTTTCGGGATTGCAGATAAGCTCTTGTGAAAGACTTACTAACTGTGTGCCAAAGCCAGCAGTCAACTGGAGAAACAACCTGCTCTGGGGTTTGCAATAGCACCCCTCCAACCTTGGCCCATCTGGCCCAGCATCCAGAGATGAGAGCATGTGCTTGAGAGAGAGAAAACTGGTAGAGAACGAGGCCTTTAGATTCCTGCTGGCCATGCACCTGTCTGATAAATGCTGAGAGCAGACAGCTGAGAAAGAAACCTGAATTTCCTATAGCAAAAAAAAATGCTCTTATAGAAGCTAGATCTTTCATATTACAAATATAAAATAGTATGTCCAATCAAAATATCAAAATTAAAAATAAAATGCTTTTTTAGAAGCTGGGGATGTAGCTCAGTGGTAGATCCTTTTTCTAACATGCATAAGGCCATAGGTTGTATCTCCAGCACTGGGGGACAATGTTTATAAGCAATTTAGAAAATTCAGAAAACATAATGAAGAAAATAAAATTATCATTTTTGTGTGATTGTTTTTGGTCATCATCTGATTATGTACATATATTGTATAACTTGACAAAATTAAAGTTTTAAATTACATATCCTGATTTTCTCATATTGTATCATGTCCTCAATTATTCTTCAGAATATTGTATTCAATATAATAAAGCATCCTACTGGATAACAAAGGGAGAAGAAACACAGGTAGCAGAAATCTATGAAAAGTTCATAGAAGAGATGAAGAAAATAGATGAGTTTAAAGAGGAAATGAACCAAAAGTTCACAGCAATTTCACTCAATGTGCCCATGGTGAGTTTCAGGGAAATAGGTATAAAACTAGATGAGTTGACCAAAACAGTTCAAAGTTTGAATGACAGATAAGGAATCCTCAAAAAGGTGTCAGATAGAAATACCTAAAATTAAAAAACTGCATAGAATGCATATATTGTAGAAATGACCAATATGAAGACAGAGTATCTGATATTGAGGAAAAAATAGTGAATTACAACAAAAAGCTAAAAGATGCCAAAAAGAAAACAAGAGAATAAGAGAAGACTATCCAGCAGACAACAAAACCAATATAAAGCTAAAAGGAATTATAGAAAAACTAGAATATAGCACAGATGGATTCACTAACATGCTCACAGAAATTATGTAAGAAATTTCTCAAATATATGAAGAGCTTAAAATATAAGTAAGCAATGTTTATAGAACACCAAACAATTATGATAAAGGAGAAGTCCACCAAGGCATATCCCCAATAAATTCCCACTTACCCTGCAATAAAACAGAATTTTAAAGGCAGCCAGAGAAAAACAAAAAATCATACATAAAAATAAACCAATTAGAATCACAGCAGACTTCTCAGCACAAACCCTGAAGGCCAGAAGAGCTTGGACTTAAGTATTTCAAACTCTAAGAGCAAGTAACTTCTAAACCAGATTAATTTACCCAGCAAAGCTATCTTTCAAAATAGTTGGAGAAATAAAGTATTTCCATGAAGAAGACCAGCTCAGAAGCTATTTATATGAGTGCTAAGCCAGCTCTAGAGAAAATACTTTAAAATATTCTGGACAGAAACAATAGCTAAAACCACACAGGAAACAAACAAATTTTAAAAAACCACATAGGAAACAAATGAGGTCAATGGATAAACAGGAACAAAAAATTCAGGAAAAGAAAACTAAAGGATACACCAACAGGCAAAGACAATGGTAGTAAATAACCAACACACCCCAGTAACATCTCTCAATGTTAATGGCCTGAATGCTCCAATTAAAGATATAGACTGGAATACTGGATCAAAAAACAGAATCTAACAATCTGTTGCAGTCAAGAAATTCACCTAATCTAAAAAGATATTCAGAGCCCGCTGCAGACAGGAAGGTCTGTGGATGCCTTATGAAGGTGGCGAGTTGCGTGGAACATGCCAAATCAGCCTGCGCCCTGGACAGCCCCCGCCCGCTCCTCTGGCCTCTTCTCTGTACAGGCACCTGGTTCCACACTACAAAAATGCAGAGGACACCGGACGACCAGACCACTGTACTGGGTAAGTTGGAGTCATCTTCACCTCCCATCAGGACCGGGACTATCTTCAGGGGAAGGGCAGCTGGAACCTGCAATACAACTCTGCAGAGTTCAACCCTACAGGAGGACAGGGAGCTCAACTTGGGACTTGCAGCCAGAAATCTACCTGAATCTCATGGGTCTGCGACTAGCTTACTGAGACGCATTGACTTATATCTGCACACTGCTACCCACGTTGTCTATTGTGACAGCAGAGACATACCCTGAAAGAGGCCCTTCATCTTCATTGTTATTTTTTATTCCCAAAATTAGTATTAATAGGTTTTTTTCTCTTTTCTTTTCTTTTGCTCCTCTTATCTTTAATTTTTTCCTACTCTTTGCAAATATTTGTTTTTCTCTCCTTTTTTTCTTTTTCTTTTCTTCTTTCTTTTCTCTTTCCTTTCTCTCTCTCTCTCTTACACTCTCTTGCTCTCCCACATTGTTCCTCTTCCCTTTTTGTCCCTGTTTTGGTCCTCAGTTGGAGTTCTTCTTTATTTTCCTATTATTCTTTTTCCTTCTCACCTGTGTCCTCTGACCACACTGCTAACATTCCCCTATCCTTCTTCTCATCTTTCACTCCCTCCCCAACCCCTTCTAACTCCCCATCCCAAAGGAAAAGTTGTTATATTGAAGAGTTTATTCACTATATGTTGGGTTGGTCCTTGATCTTGATTTAATTCACA